GTCAAGCTCAACTCCCAGTCCTACTGCCAGTTCCTGGAAGACACCTTCTTCAAGCAGTGGTACAGGAAGAAGTCTGCATCCTTCAAGAAAAACATGATTTTCATACAGGACAATGCTCCATCACACGCGTCCAAGTACTCCACAGCGTGGCTGGCAAGAAAGGGTATAAAAGAAGAAAAATCTAATGACATGGCCTCCTTGTTCACCTGATCTGAACCCCATTGAGAACCTGTGGTCCATCATCAAATGTGAGATTTACAAGGAGGGAAAACAGTACACCTCTCTGAACAGTGTCTGGGAGGCTGTGGTTGCTGCTGCACGCAATGTTGATGGTGAACAGATCAAAACACTGACAGAATCCATGGATGGCAGGCTTTTGAGTGTCCTTGCAAAGAAAGGTGGCTATATTGGTCACTGATTTGTTTTTGTTTTGTTTTTGAATGTCAGAAATGTATATTTGTGAATGTTGAGATGTTATATTGGTTTCACTGGTAATAATAAATAATTGAAATGGGTATATATTTGTTTTTTGTTAAGTTGCCTAATAATTATGCACAGTAATAGTCGCCTGCACACACAGATATCCCCCTAACATAGCTAAAACTAAAAACAAACTAAAAACTACTTCCAAAAATATTCAGCTATGATATTAATTAGTTTTTTGGGTTCATTGAGAACATGGTTGTTGTTCAATAATAAAATTAATCCTCAAAAATACAACTTGCCTAATAATTCTGCACTCCCTGTATATACACACTGCATACACTATACATACACACACACACACTGCATACACTATACATAAACTCCATACACTATATACACACACTGCATATACTATACACACACTGCATACACTATACACACACTGCATACACTATACATACAAGCTGCATACACTATACACACAAGCTGCATTCACTATACATACACACACTATACAAGCACACACACTGCATATACTACGCAAACACACTGCATTCACTATGGAAACACACACTGCATTCACTACGCAAACACACAATTATACATGTGTATCTGTATGTCTGTGTATCTGTATGTGTATCTGTTTGTGTGTCTGTGAATCTGTTTGTGTATCTGTGATTGTTTCAGTGTGTCTGTGTATCTGTATGTGTGCCTGAGTGCCTCTCTCTGTGTGTCTGTATGTGTGTTTGTATCTGTATGTGTGTCAGTATTTGTCTGTATCTGTGTATGACTGTGTTTTTATGTAACTGCATGTGTGTACCTATGTGTCTGTGTATCTGTATGTGTGCCAGTGTGTGTATATGTGAGTATATGTGTATATGTGCATACATCTCAGCATTTTGTCTACACTACACACAAATACAACCCTGCATCCAAATGTCAACACTACATAAAAACACACCACCATATTCAAAAACCACACTACAGAAAAATGCATGCCGGCATTCAAATGCCAATACATGCAAACACATCTGTACATTCACTCACACATACTAAAAATATACAAACACTGCTCAGTGCTTAATACATTTAAAAAATCTGTGGTTGTTTTTTACATTTTAGTTGAGGGGGGTGCCAAATAAAGGATCAGCCCCGGGTGCCAAATGCTCCAGGTACACCCCTGCATGTGCCTCTATGAAGAGCAATGGGTTGGACCATCATTTTGTATGCACACCTCCAGAATGACATCACATGTGGAGGACATGCGGCAAGGCTGGAGAAAAAGAAAGTCCAATTAGTTTTATTCTTTTGCTGGGCTCACAGGTGAGCGGCCTGAAAAAAAAAATAGGGACATTGATACTATAGCATTAGGAATACAAATTTGTATTGCTAACTGTCTAGTGTTCCATTAATGGTGAAGCCATTTTAAAAATTTTGCAACAGTTAACAGTGGAATATTTTCAAGCTTTTGGGGTGCTTTAGATCAGACTGTAGACTGTGAGACTAGAAGAAAAGTTGCCATTATATCAGGCACTAAGAAAAAAGTTACGTATGAGCTTTATTGTATAGTAAAATCAGGTCCATGGTTTTCAAATACAGCTATTTAAATTTTAGAACTTTCAGGTAGCTCTTTATTTCCACAAAGGAAAAGATTAAAAAAAATACAAATGACAAACCGGCAGAGTATAAAACTGGGATAATATAACGCATTCCTCAGATGTGGGTGTTTAACCACATTTTCCTGACTCAAAGTAACAATTATTGGATTGAAAAGTCAGAGCATGACACATATTTGATATTTTAAAAATTATTTTATTGTCAAAACTGTCATTTTACCAATACAATAGCACTTTCGTAAAAAGGATTTTTTTTTTTTTAAATGAAGTTAGGACCTAGTTTGAAAACTCAGTTCCACTTTCTCTGATTGAGAGTTCACATTCCTTTTTTGCTTTGATTTTGACATGTATGTAGCATTGCAGAAGCTGTCATCTACCTCTCCCCTAGGTGCGTTTTGTGCTTTCCAGTATGGAAGCATTTTCAGAGTGTAAATTCACAGATGTCTCTGGGCAATGGTATTCCTAAAAGTCCTGGTCCAATGGAACAAGAAACGTGTACCGAGTGATGTTACTGAATACTGATACTGATTTTTAGCTTGGATTCCTGTGAATATGCTTGTAACAGAAATTGAGAACCATTTACCTTATACACAGGGCCGTCTTTAACGCGGGGCAAACGGGGCAGCTGCCCCGGGCCCAGTTGCTCCTGGGGGCCCAGAGCAGCTGCTCTGTGGGCCCCGCGATTTGCGCAGCCCCTGCGGTGCGGCTCCCGCACACTGAGGAGGCTCCCCGGGTGGCCCATGCACTAAGGGCCACCTGGGGAGCATGTGTCAGCAGGGGCCCGGTCGGGCGCTGTGGCGCTTAAACAGCGCGACCGGGCCCCTCTTCCGGTTCTGCAGCCGGCTGGGAGGAAGTGACGTCACTTCCTCCCACCGGAGATAGCCGCGCGGGAGGAGGAAGGCAGGGAGGAGGGGAGTTCCAGAGGAGAACTCCCATCTGCCTCAGCCTGCCACTGGACCAGGGAAACCACCCTCCAGGAAAAGGTAAGAACCTGGAGGGTGGCTAAATGTATGTCAGTAGGTCTGTGTGTGTGTGTATGTCTGTGTGTATGCCAGTATGTCTGTGTGTGTGTGTCAGTATGTCTGTGTATGCCAGTATGTCTGTGTGTTTGTGTGTGTGTCAGTATGTCTGTGTGTATGCGTCAGTATGTCTGTGTGGGTATGCCAGTATGTCTGTGTGGGTATGCCAGTATGTCTGTGTGTATGCCAGTATGTCTGTGTGTATGCCAGTATGTCTGTGTGTGTGCGCGTATGTAGGTATGTCTCTGTGTGTGTGTGTGTGTACGTGTGTGTCAGTATGTCTGCCAGGATATATTTGTGTGTCAGTGTATGTGTGTGTCAGTATGTATCTGTGAATGTTTTAATGTCTGTCTGTGTGTATGTGCCAGTCTCTCTGTGTGTATGTCAGTATGCCTGTGTGTGTGTCAGCATGTCTGTGTGTATTTAAGTATGTCTGTGTGTGTATGTGTGTGTCAGTCAGTATGTCTGTCAGTGTATGTGTCTGTGTGTGTATGTATGTCTGTCTGTGTGTGTGTCAGTATGTCTGCCAGGATATATTTGTATGTCAGTGTATGTGTGTGTCAGTATATATCTGTGAATGTTTAATGTCTGTCTGTATCAGCCATTACATCTGTCTGTGTATATGTCAGTCAGTATGCCTGTGTGTGTGTGTGTGTGTGTGTGTGTGTATATATATATATGTCAGTATGCCTGTGTGTGTGTGTCAATGTGTCTGTCAGTGTATGTATCTGTGTGTTTTAGTATATCTGTCAGTGTATGTGTTTGTGTGTGTGTCAGTATATCTGTTAATGTATGTGTCTGTGTATGTATGTATGTCTGTGTGTGTGTCAGTATGTCTGCCAGTATATATTTGTGTGTAGTGACTTTGTGTGTCAGTATGTATCTGTGAATGTTTTAATGCCTGTCTGTGTGTGTATGTGCCAGTACGTCTGTCAGTGTGATTGCGGGTTGGACGTAATTGGGGGGTGAGGCAGTGGCAGGGACAGGGCCCATGGGGCCCAAGAAAATGCATTGCCCAGGGTCCTAATCATATTATAGACGGCCCTGCTTATACAATTCAAAATGAACTGCAAATTCTTTTGTTGTATATGGAAGGAAGGAGATGTGCTGGCAATTACTGTCCAATCATAATGAATGAAGTCCAATATATATAGTGAAACCTTTTTTCTAATGTTAACATGGGGTCAGAGGGTTCACCCAGTGGAACCCAGCTCAAAAGAGAACTTAAACCATCAGCAAAAAAGTTGACTTCTTACATTCCTGGCTCTATAACCATTATTGCTTGATGTTGACGGCAAATAAGAACTATTCGGCCCATCTAGTCTGCCCAATTTTCTAAATACTCTCATTAGTCCCTAGCCTTATCTTATAGTTAGGATAGCCTTATGCCTATCCCACGCATGCTTAAACTCCTTTACTGTGTTAACCTCTACCACTTCAGCTGGAAGGCTATTCAATGCATTTACTACCCTCTCAGTAAAGTAATACTTCCTGATATTATTTTTAAACCTTTGTCCCTCTAATTTAAGACTATGTCCTCTTGTTGTGGTAGTTTTTCTTCTTTTAAATATAGTCTCCTCCTTTACTGTGTTGATTCCCTTTATATATTTAAATGTTTCTATCATATCCCCCCTGTCTCGTCTTTCCTCCAAGCTATACATGTTAAGATCCTTTAACCTTTCCTGGTAAGTTTTATCCCGCAATCCATGAACCAGTTTAGTAGCCCTTCTCTGAACCCTCTCTAAGGTATCAATATCCTTCTGAAGATACGGTCTCCAGTACTGTGTATAATACTCCAAGTGAGGTCTCACCAGTGTTCTGTACAATGGCATGAGCACTTTCCTCTTTCTACTGCTAATACCTCTCCCTATACAACCAAGCATTCTGCTAGCATTTCCTGCTGCTCTATTGAGGGCCGGACTGGGAATTAAAAGCAGCCCTGGAAAAAAAATATTTACCAGCCCCATAATGCGTCGCGCCAGCATAGTGTGCAGATACAGAGTTAGAACAGATAACTTAAAATTAAAAAGTACTTCAACGTAAAAAGCGCACTCATAGACTTCAAAATAAACAAAAGTGCAGATTTATTTTAAGCAGACGTGCCTTTGCATGTAATCAATGTTTCAGTCCAACTACCTTGACATATTAAGGAAAGCTTGTTAATGGGACTGAAATGGTGAATGTATGTAGGGCACAACTGTAAAAAATGTTTATTTTGAAGCCCTGTGGGTGTGCTCTTCACTTTAAATATGTTATTGTGTTGGAGTATGCATCTAGCAACAAGACTGGGCCAATATCTGCTCATTACATATGGTACATATTAATGACATTCCTCTGTGTATTATGCATATATAAATGTACATTAATATGTGTAAATATAATAGAACTTACCTGGAGTCTGCTGGGATATGGGGCTGTAGTAGGGTATAGGAGCAGTGGTGCAATGTGTGAGGGGTGCAATGTGTGTGAAAGGTTCAGTGTGTGGGTGTGGGGGGGCAGTGTGTGAATGTGTATGGTGTGTGTGTGGGGGGGCAGTGTGTGAATGTGTATGGTGTGTGTGGGGGGGCAGTGTGTATGGTGTGTGTGTGTGTGTGGGGGGGCAGTGTGTGTATGGGGCTAGAGTTCACTCCTACTACTGCGACCATCAGGAAGTGGTGAGAGTGAACTCTAGCCCGTAGCTCCAGGGCTAGAGTTCACCCTCGTGAGAGCCGGAGTGTTGCCCGGGTCCTCTCTTTCTCCCCCTCACTGCTCCTCTGTGTCAATGTCTCCCCTCTCCTTCCCCGTCTCTGTCTTCCCCCTCTGCCTCTTTCTTCCCCTCCCCTCGTGTGTCTCTCTCATTTCTCCCTCTTTGTCTTTCTCTTCCCCCTCTGCCTCTTTCACCCCCTTTCCCGGTGTCTCTCCCTCCCTCCTTTCCCTGTGTCTCTCCATCCAACCCATCTCTCTTCCTCCCCCCTTTCCCTGTGTCTCTCCCCTCTCCCCATCTCTCTCCCTCCCCCTTTCCCTGTGTCTCTCCCTCCAACCCATCTCTCCCCCCCTTTCCCTGTGTCTCTCCCCTCTCCCATCTCTCTTCCTCCCCTTTTCCCTGTGTCTCCCCTTTCCCCATTCTCTTCGCTTTCCTTTTCCTGTGTCTCTCTCTCTCCCATCTCTCTTTATCCCCCCTTTCTGTCTCCCTCTCCCCATATCTCCTCCTTTATCTCTCCCTCTCCCCATCTATCTTTCACCCCCTTTCCCTGTGTCTCTCCCTCCTCCCCATCCCTCTCCCTCCCCCTTTCCATGTGTCTCTCCCTCCTCCCCATCTCTCTCCCTCCCCCCTTTCCCTGTCTCTCCCTCCAACCCATCTCTCCCCCCCTTTCCCTGTGTCTCTCGCCTCTCCCCATCTCTCTCCCTCCAACCCATCCCCCCCTTTCTCTGTGTCTCTCCCCATCTCTCTTCCTCCCCCCTTTCCCCATCTCTCTTCCTCTGCCCTTTCCCGTGTCTCTCTCTCTCCCTCCTTTCCTGTATCTCTCCCTCCTCTGTCCTCCTCCTTCCCTCCTCCTCCTCCCCATCTCTCCACCCCCTTTCCGGGTGTCTCTCCTCCTCCCATCTCTCTCCTCCTCTTTCCTGTGTCTCTCCTCCAGCCATCTGCTTCCTCCCCTTTCCTGTGCCTCTCCCATCTCTCTCCCTCCCCCTTTCCCTGTGTCTCTCTCTCCTCCCCATCTCTCTCCCTCCCCCCTTTCCCTGTGTCTCTCCCTCCTTCCCATCTCTTTCCCTCCTCCTTTTCCTGTGTCTCTTCCTCCTCCCCATCTCTCTCCATCCCCCCTTTCCCTGTGTCTCTCCCCACTCCCCATCTCTCTCCCCTTTCGGTATCTCTCCCTCTCCCCATCTCTCTCCTCCCCCGCTTTCCCTGTGTCTCTCCTCCTTTTCCCTGTGTCTCTCTCCCTCCAGCCCATCTTTCTTCCTCCCCTTTCCTGTGTCTCTCCCTCCCAGTGTCTCTCCCTCCCCTTTCCTGTGTCTCTCCTCCTCATCTCTCTCCCCTCCCCATCCTCTCTCCACCCCCCTTTCCGGTGTCTCTCCCTCCTCCTCTCTGGTTTCATTTCCCCCCATTTCCTCTCTGTTTCATTCTCCCCATTCCCTCTTTGTTTCATTCCCCTCCCTATTCCTCTCTGTTTCATTCCCCCCCCTATTCCCCTCTCTGTTTCATCCCCCACATTCCCCTCTTTGCTTCATTCCCCTCCCTATTCCTCTCTGTTTCATTCCCCCCCTATTCCCCTCTCTGTTTCATCCCCCACATTCCCCTCTATGTTTCATTCCCCCCTATTCCCCTCTCTGTTTCATTCCCCCCATTCCTCTCTGTTTCATCCCCCCATTCCACTCTCTGTTCCATTCCCCACCCCCCTCCCCTATTTACCTTAGAGAAGTCAGAGGGGGCCGGCCGGGTTTCTGGCTGGAGCCGCCGGGCCAGGTGGCAGCTTCCCCGGTCCGGCGGCCCTGCTCCTGTCACTGGCTGCTGATGGCTGAAGGAGGAGGAGCCTGTCTCTGTACCTTGCTCACTCGCGGTTCCTGTGCTGGGAATTGTGGGAACCGCAAATCCTTCTCTGCTTGCATTGCCGTTATCTATCGTGCCCCTGGTTCCCCTCTCCTCTTCCTTGACCACTTTGCTGCCTGACTACCCTACTTCCTCTCTAACATTCCAGCCTTAATTCTTGGAGACTTCAATATTCCTATTAACCCACCTTTGACCCCAGCAGCCTCTAAACTACTTTCAAATACTTCCTCCCTCGGACTATTGCAGTGGGCTAATTCTCCCAACACTCCTTTTCCTCTCTTTGATCACCACCTCTTATCGCTTGCTCTCAATTACCCCCTCACCCAACAACCTCAGCCTAACCCTCCTCAACTCAGGAGGAACCTTAACTCTATTGCCCACCAGCAGCTGTCAGCTGACATTGATTCACAACTGCTATCCATCCCTTCCCTCTCCTGTCCTTCACTGGCCATCTTCATATATAGCACTACACTCACCTCTGCCTTGAACGCTGCAGCCCCGCTCCAAACATGCACCTCAAGGAGGACACGACCCCAACCTTGGCATACCAAATCAACACGCTATCTGCAGAGTTGCTCCCGTTGTGCTGAACGCTCCTGGAGGAAGTCCTGCACCCAGGCAGACCTTCTCCATTATAGATTCATATTGCGTTCATACAGTGCAGCCCTTGCCCTCGCCAAACAGTCATACTTTTCCTCATTAATTAGTTCATGCTCCTGCAATCCCAGACGTCTCTTTGACACCTTTAATTCTCTTCTCCGCCCTGCTGTGGCCACCCCCCAAACTAACCTTACAGCTGATAGCTTTGCATGCTACTTTACCAACAAGATTGAACAGCTAAGGAAACAATTCTCCCCTCCTTGCCGTTCTCTTTCTCAACCACACATAAATCATGCCTTTCATACCCTTCAGACGTTCTCCACTTGCCCACTCGATCCTGTCCCATCTCACCTCATCAGATCTCTCTCCCCTTCTCTTGTGACTACCCTAACACACATCTTCAACTGCTCTCTCTCTTCTGGCACTGTTCCTGCTGACCTTAAACATGCCACTGTAGTACCTATCCTGAAAAAAACATCTCTGGACCCATCCTCCCCCTCTAACTATCGTCCCATATCCCTGCTCCCTTTTTTATCAAAGCTTTTGGAAAGACTTGTCTTTACCTGTGTGTCTCACTTCCTCAATTCAGTCTGGCTTCTGCCCTCTCCACTCCACTGAGACTGCTCTTATCAGAGTTACTAATGACCTAATCGCATCTAAATCCAAAGGTCACTACTCCATATTAATTCTCCTTGACTTCTCTGCTGCCTTTGACACCATCCTTCAAACTCTTCAATCGCTCGGTCTCTGTGACTCTGTCCTCTCATGGTTTTCCTCTTATCTCTCCCAATGCTCATTCAGTGTCTCCTTTTCCAAAAATAGCTCCTCCCCTCGTCCTGTCTCAGCTGGAGTTCCCCAAGGCTCTGTCCTTGGTCCCCTTCTATTTTCTCTTTATACTGCCTCTCTTGGAAAACGTATTGCCTCTTTTGGATTCCACTACCACCTGTACGCTGATGACACTCAGCTATACCTCTCCTCCACGGACCTCTCCCCTGCCGTCCTGCAACATGTCACTGCTTGCCTTTTTTCCCATCTCTGACTGGAAGTTCTCAAGCTTTCTGAAACTCAATCTCTCTAATACTCCTCCTAATACTGATCCTCCTCTCTTGCTCTCCCTTCAAGTCAGTGATATTCACATAAGTCCATCCTTGCAAGCCCGCTGTCTTGGCATCATACTTGACTCTGGCCTCACCTGTGAGCCTCACATCCAGTTTGTTGCCAAATCCTGTAGGTTCCAACTTAAAACCATAGCGCGCATCCGCCCCTTTCTTACACAAGATGCTACCAAGGAGCTTGTCCATGCTCTAGTAATTTCACGCATAGATTACTGTAACCCTCTCCTGATTGGTCTCCCCAAAAGCCGTATTGCCCCGTTACAGTCTGTAATAAATGCTTCCACCAGACTGATTTTCCTCTCTAGTCGGTCCTCTCACACCTCATCCATCTGCCAGTCCTTACATTGGCTCCCTGTATCCTATGGGAGACAATTCAAAGTGCTAACCCATACATTTAAAGCACTGAACAATTCTAGCCCCTCTTGTATCTCTTTACAGATCCTTAGGTATGTCCCTCCTCGTTCCTTCCGCTCTGTCCGTTACCAACTCCTGACTGCTGCTCACACCCTTACGGCCAACTCGCGCTTGCAGGACTTCTCGCGGGCGGCTCCTTTCCTATGGAATATCCTGCCTACCCCCATCAGACTCTCCCCTAGTCTTCAATCGTTTAAGAAGTGCCTTAAAACCCATCTCTTTAGGAAAGCTTATGGCCTCCCAGAGTAACCTCTACCTTACATACCTGTCTCTTGCTCTCTCCTATAGGGCAGTGCTTTACTCTCTCCTCCAGGTCTGCTTCACTCCCACCCTATTTGATTGATATTTCCTATCCTAACGTGTCTTATACCTCCTATAGTCTGTAAGCTCATTTGAGCAGGGTCCTCTTTAACCTATTGTTCCTGTAAGTTTTCTTGTAATTGTCCTATTTATAGATACATCCCCCCTCTCATAATATTGTAAAGCGCTTCGGAAATAATAATAAATAATAATAATAATAATAATAATACCTG